GGAACTGATCTACGGTGTAAAAGAGGCGTTGAAGCCATAAATAGTCGCTGCAGCTTTGTTCATTGACTTCAGGAAGCAGACATAGCACTGGCTCCACTTTCGGTAACGGCTGAGCGAGAGAGCTTCATCGACTTCACATTCCCCTACTACGACCTGGTCGGCATAACGATCCTGATGAAGAAGCCGGAAAGCAACGACTCTCTGTTCAAGTTCATGACCGTACTCGAACTTCCTGTATGGGGATGCATCGTTGGCGCGTACTTCTTCACCAGTTTCCTCCTGTGGGTGTTCGATCGCTTCAGTCCGTACAGTTATCGCAACAACAAGGAGAAGTACAAAGATGATTCAGAGAAGCGTGAGTTCACCTTCAAGGAGTGTCTGTGGTTTTGCATGAACTCGCTCACGCCTCAAGGTAGTGAGGAAAAGTACTTTCTGTCTGTGCCATGGCGCTAAACTTGCACTCGTTCCTCGATAGGCGGTGGCGAAGCTCCGAAGAACATCAGTGGACGAATCGTGGCCGCAACGTGGTGGCTGTTCGGTTTCATCATCATCGCTTCGTACACGGCCAACCTCGCCGCCTTCCTGACCGTTTCCCGTCTCGAGACGCCGATCTCGTCGATCGACGAGTTGGCAAAGCAGTACAAGATCAAGTACGCGCCTTCGAAGGGCTCCGCCGCAGAGAGCTACTTCCGAAGAATGGCCGAAATCGAAAACAAGCTTTTCGAGTACGTGCTGTTTGCAGGTGATTCACCTAGTTTAGCATAAAATTATGAATGAGGATCAAATGAACCTGTACTCAACTGCCTAAACCTCATTAAACATTCGTTAGGTAAATTTGTCTTATGGTGCAGATTATCATAAATTTCATAATGTTATGAACGGACACACTGGTTAAGAGTTAGCTTGAAAACACTGCTTCATAAAAACTGCTTATTAGAAAGACAGAATGTTCTGATGCGAGTTTCTCGACTCAGTCAACGAAGACGAGGTGGACGGAAGTTGGTTGAAGCTAGAGCAAAGATTGTTTGATCCTCGTCACCGAAGTTGTCGCAAAGGAATCAGAACATTTGTATCATGGCCATATAAGGAAGAATAATACATGAAATTAGGAGACTCTGTACAGTGGCAACGAGCAAGACGTTGTGCAGGCTCTGGAAGGGCAAAGATGTTGACAATAGCATTCACCTGTGGATATACAGGACATGTATTCTGAACACCCGTTTTTATGGCCTGAAGACGATTGCACTTAACAATGCTGAAACCTAAATACTCAGAGTGACGGGAATAAGGATTTTAAGATTAATATGAATAATCTGGTGTCAAATGCAGTTGTAAGAGGAACATTTGAATATCTAGTTCAAGCAAGTGATAGGCTGTAAATCTGACGTTTGAGGAAATCGAGCCATTGCCAACGAACAGACGATGGCGTTCTTGTGAAGCGGTTACCAGAACTCCGAAAAGGTGTGATGACCTCGTTAGAACCTTCATGAAATCGAAGATTAAGCATTTTGTCGATCGAGCTGGAATTCTTTAGGGAGCTCGGTAGAGTCGTCTGTGCAGTGTGATAGGAAGATGATTTTAATTGATGTTAGTGTTGCTTGATCTGGTTCTCAAATTAGTCTAATGAAAACGCAAACAACAAAGAAGTATAGCCGGTTTTCTTCTAGACGTTTTGAAGATATTAGAAACGTTTCCATTGTTAAATCTGAACTTACTGTTGTTTGTATCGTTTCACAAGGCACTTCAAGAACAAGTCAATTTCTTGTTCCATCATCATCTTCCATCGCCGCTTTTCCTTTCGGGTCGCGGAGGCAGACGCGTCAGACAGTGCTTCCAAC